CCCTCCTTTCTCCTCAGTCCGGTGACATTGGGTGGCGTGTGCTGCAGTGTGTGTGCGAGCGCGAGAGCGCGTGTACACGCCCGTGTCACTACAGGAGAACAATTCGGTTGATTCACGGGGAACTCTGGGCGCGCACACACCCCCCTCGGGCGGGCCGCAGGCTGCCGGTTGTGCTCCGGCCCACACCGACACACACCCCATTCCTGGGCAAGGGGGTGGACTTTTAAGTCCAGTCGCCTCAGCCCCCCGAGAGCAGCTCCCTCGGCCGGAACGGCGATCTCAATCTGGGAAGGGGAAATCGATCCCTGCCACGTTGCGCCGCGCATTCTGCCGCTCCAAATCTCCAAACCCCACTCTCCTGGGACACGGTGCGTGGCTACGGGTCCAGCAACCGCACCAACCCATGGGCTCCCTCGCCCAGCCCCACCTCCCGGGTGGGCGCGGCGAGAATCTGCACGCGCTGAGGACCCGGGGTCTGTGCGCCCTTGTCCCCGGCGCTGGGCACCCCCACCCGGGCTCTCTCAATGCCCTCCGCCCGCGAAGGGGTTCGAGCCCACCCAGGCCTCGCAGGGCGCGCGCCTGGCACGGCCAAAAGCGGGTGCCCGTCACCTACCTAGGGCCCTAGAGTCCCGGACGCGGCGTCGACGCGGCGTCGGCGCGGCTGTGCGATCCCCTCGGTGGGCTCGGCGCCGCGGCTCGGCCGGCGGCCCATGTCAACGAGGCCGTCCGGCTGGCTCAGGCCCGGGGCTCTCGGGGCGGGGAGCCGGCGACACTCCCCTCGCAGGCTCCTCCCCGGTCCCCTCCCGCTCCCCGCCCCGCCCCCACGCAGATGTCGCGGCGCCGCCGCAGCCAATGGCCGTCGCGAGCTTCAGTCGGGCCGCTCCGCCTCCACAGTTCAAATCTGAAAGACGGAACCTTGCCGAGCTCCTCTTGGGGCCCCTCGGGTGGGCCGGGCTTGGGGCGCCCCCTCTTCCTGTGGTAGGTCACGACCCTAACCCGGCGGCCCCCAGGACCGAAGTGTGTCTCCTTCGCAGGCCCTGTTAGAGCGACTCACGGCTCTTCCCCGTTTTAAACAATCACAAGAACCAAGGAACACGACCCGGATGGCCTTTTTCCCAAGTTTGCAAGCTTTGCCTCCCAAGTGTCGGCTGAAACTCAGCTTTGCTCCAAGAATTGAAAGGGGGTTGGACTCGCCGGAGCAACATCCTACGGAGAGGCAGCCTCGGGCTCCTCTCTTTAGAGGAATAGTTTCCACTTGTGAATGTTCATGGCTAAAACAATCAGTGCCTGCGGTGGGATTGTTTAACATGAGTGGAACCAGTCCAGAAAGCTCCCTTGCCTTCACAGTTTAACGTAAGTGGGGGTGGAGGCGTCCGGATCTCCAGTCTCCCTTTCCCGCAGCACGGCAGCGGAGTCCCTCAGTCCTCTTCTAGCTTTCTCTGGAAACGACTTCATTTTCCGCTCTCCCCCTGCCCTGAAAGCACCCAGCTTTGGAAATCAACCGAGGTAGCCGCCGCATCCCGCAGTGAAAATCAAATCCGACCCTGGCCGCTGGGGGCTTGAGGATATAGCTCAGTGGGAAGGCACCGAGGACCTGCATTCTGTCCCCAGCACCACCACTACTACCACCACCAAAAATGTCAAAACTTCACGCTGGGGCTGGGGTTTTAGCTCAGTGGTTCCGGAGCGTGCCTCGCAAGCGCAAGGACCCGAATTCGATCCCCAGTACCACAAAACACAAAACAAAAAACTTCACGCTGGGACTAGAAAGTGGGCTTCAGAGCAAACTTGGGAACCAGAAAACATGTGTTTCGGTCCTGGCTGCGTTATCATGGAAATGGCTTCCTTCTCCCATGCCGGCCTAACCTGGCTCTCCTGTGTCCTAGAAGCACGGAGACCTCAGGGAGCCTTCCCTAACCCTCACTGGAGGTTTGTTAAAGGGCTTCCGTCTTCAGGACCTGGGACAGAACTGGGGGTGGGGTGGGGGTCGCAGAGTCTTGGAAGCATCTCTTTTTCCTGGTACGGGCGATCGAACTCAGGAAATTGCGTTTTCGAGGAAGGCACCGGAACCACTGCGCTAAATCCCCGGCCCTTGGCGGTATCTCTTACTTGGAATTCCCGGTGCTAGCTTACAGCTTCTCCACCAGCTTCCACATCTGTAAAGGGGAATAGCACCCTCCACACCCACCACACCCCGATAGTCCAATGAGATCCCTAACGTGATCTGCTGGACACTCACGCCCCTCCCCACCTCCTCCCCACTGCTGCTTCTCCTCACTTTGCTCCCAGCTGGAAGCTTCCTTTGCCTCCAAAACCTCAGCACGAGTCTCATCTGCCCCCAACCCCCCAAAAAAACTTTTCTGTTTTTTTTTTTCCCTGACATCTCCTTCTTCCTCCTCTCTTTCCTTCCTTTAATACATGATTTTGGTTTTTTAAGGCTAGCTGTTAGTAACATGAGTCTCCCCCACATTTTTATTTTTTAAATTAATTATTGTGTTACTCGAAATTGCACCCAGGGTCTTCACGCTGAGCCCTTTTATGCTGAGACAAGTTCTCAAAAGATTGTCCAAGCTGGCTTGAACTTGCGACCCATTCGCCCAGAGTGCTGGGATTATAGGCAATACACCACTATGCCCAGCTCTCCTTTCTTTTCATTTATTTGTTGCTTTTTTTTTTTTTTTTTTTTTTGGTACTGGGGATTGAACTCGGGTCCTTGTGCTTGCAAGGCAGGCCACCGAACCACTGAGCTAAATCCCCACCCCACCCTTTTAAATTTGTTGTTGTTGCTTTTTTTTTAAGAATAAAAATTTTTATCCAGAGAAAGAAAACTTCCGTCTAAGACAGAAGCGAGGACCAGAAATGGATTACCCCTATTTGTTGCTTTTTTTAAGACGAGGTCTCACAATGTATTCCAGGCTGCCCTTGAACTCACTGTGTATTCCAGGCTGGCAGAAAACCTGAAGCAAGCCTGTTTCAGCCTCCCAGGTGCTGGGATGACAGGTGTGCACCGTGTGCCTGGCTCTTCTCTTCTTTGATACCGACCCACTCTACGGCCCAGCTGTCTACCTCTACTCAGGGAAAAGTGCACACCCGTCTCCTTCTCATTCCAGGGCAGACTCACTTTCCTATGTGTGATCTAGGGCAGAGGCGAATGGCTTGGCCTTTCCTCACTTAACGTGGCTGTAGCTTCCTTTTCACAGGTGTCAGTCTTAGGTTTGGCCTCCCCAGTTAGGGTCCTTATCAATTAAACACACCTTCCGGACAAAGTCTTCTGGTGCTTTTGTTACATCTCCACCCCTTATTCAAATCCGGTTTCCTTTCACACACTTAACAGCAGTTGAGGTTTGCCTTTGGGGACAGGAAAACCAAGCCCAAATCTTGCCTTTAGGACGCTGCCTAGGGGAGGAGCTCAGTCGGACTAGACCACAACCTAGCACACACCTGGGGGAGACTGACTAAAGGAAACTGCTAATTTCCCTGATGCCCCGAATCCCAAACCTCTGGATTTCTCTCCCGAGAACTCACCAAACCTCAGTTTTACTCCAATCTTTTAGGCAAGTGCTGTCTTTGAATACAGGAAATTGACAAAATGAAGAATTGAAGGCTTTGAGTACCTACCTTGAGATTCCTGGCAAGTGCTAAACCCCAGATTTGGGGAGGGATTTAAGGCCTTAAAAGTACCTTTGGTGTAACTTGACCTACAAGCCTTTAGGCTTGGGCGTGTGGCTCTGCCTGTCGTGGGTTGCTGGTGCCTGCCTTTGGGACTTGGGCTTGTGTGAACCTTGCAGCTGCCAAGGCCTGCCTCTCCCTGGTGTGACCCCCACTGCACGCGTTCCTACCAGTGTTTGTTAACATTAAGTTCTTAGTGTTTTCATTCCTGTTATATTCCCCACCCTCACGCCCAAGAAGGTTGGCCAGGTTGCTTAATCCCACTTCCTGATAGAGAAGTTTTGGTCTGGTGTTTGCCACAAGGTATGACTTTGGGCATCTGGCTCTCTCTGTCACTCTCTCTGTGCTGGGAATCGAACTCACTGCCTGATACATGCTAGGTAAGAGTTATACTACTGGACTATAACCTCAGCCCCCACTTACCTTGCTGAAATGAGCTGATAGCCAAGGCTTCTTTCCCCGAGAATACTTGTGCTTTCCCTTATCTATCCTAGGCAGCTCCCTTCCCTACTGAGATGAAACAGGTGGTCCTGGAGTAGACAGGACAACTCAAAGTGTCACCAGGGCTTGATGTCAGCACGTGGAGCCTGGGTGACTTCAGCCAGGAAGGCCCCGGGCTATTTCACTCTTTTGGCTCAGGACAGAGGCTTTTTCACTCCTGGGTTCCTTGTTCTTGGGAACCCCCTGGAGCCCTTCTACGGCCTGAGCTGATCTCTGCTTCACCCCTAGGAGGATCCCACACTCCTGGCAGAGTGCCTGGGGCTGAGGGCAAGACCTGCTCCCTACTTGAGGAGAAGCCCCACATCTGGGGCTCTTGTTCTGCTCCTGGTTCGTTAATTCTACCCTTTGAGGCAGTTACTAGGGAACTTCAGGTCTCCGGAGCGGTCAGAGCACACAGAGAGGGAGACGAAGGTCTTTCCTAGGAGGTCCTTGAGGACAGGATGATGACCAATTCCTATTTGAATCTGTCACGTGGGCTGGCACATCTGCAGTTGGCAGGTAAATGAATGAGCAGAGTTCAGAGCCCACTTCCCTCCTTTATTCTGTTTGCAACCCAGTCTTAGACTAAGCTCTGATCCTTTCCTTCAAGGGACAAGCTCTGCCGCTCACCTGTAGGCTCAGATGTCTGCCCGAATGGCAGCTCCCTGGAGGGCCCAGCACGCGTGGGCTCCAGGGTCACGGAGGCTGCTGTCTCTGAGGCTC